CAACACACATTAACCTGCAACACAACAACACAAACACACACCTGCAGCACAACAACACACATTAACCTGCAGCACAACAACACACATTAACCTGCTACACAACAACACACATTAACCTGCTGCACAACAACACACATTAACCTGCTACACAACAACACACACCTGCAGCACAACAACACACATTAACCTGCTACACAACAACACACATTAACCTGCTACACAACAACACACATTAACCTGCTGCACAACACACACATTAACCTGCAACACAACAACACACATTAACCTGCTGCACAACAACACACACATTAACCTGCAACACAACAACACACATTAACCTGCAGCACAACAACACACATTAACCTGCTGCACAACAACACACATTAACCTGCTGCACAACAACACACACATTAACCTGCAACACAACAACACACACATTAACCTGCTGCACAACAACACACATTAACCTGCTGCACAACAACACACATTAACCTGCTGCACAACAACACACATTAACCTGCTGCACAACAACACACATTAACCTGCTACACAACAACACACACATTAACCTGCAACACAACAACACACATTAACCTGCAACACAACAACCACATTAACCTGCAACACAACAACACACATTAACCTGCTACACAACAACACACATTAACCTGCAGCACAACGACACACATTAACCTGCAACACAACAACACACATTAACCTGCAACACAACAACACACATTAACCTGCTACACAACAACACACATTAACCTGCAGCAGAACAACACACATTAANCACAACAACACACATTAACCTGCTGCACAACAACACACATTAACCTGCTACACAACAACACACACATTAACCTGCTGCACAACAACACACATGAACTGTGTGTGTCTCGTATAAAACCTGCAGGAAGTTTCTTTCTGAAACAGTTTCGTCACATCACTGTTTGTTTGAGGCTTACTTTTTACTCTGCCTGTCTGTCTCACAGGGACAGTTATAAACAGGATCTTATTTCTACATTTTATCAGACATTTCAACAAAAAGTGATTTTAAGGTCAGAAAACAGAAACATCAAAGGTGAAAATTTGTTTATTTTAATTTCTTTTCTGACATTTTGATTAATTTCACTTCCTGCAACTTTTGCGGAAAAATGTATAAAAAAATGAACATTAGTCAGAAATAAGTTGTTTCACCAAGAAAAACCTTCAGAACATTTTCTTGTTCACATCAGAGTCAGAAAATACTGAAACTCGACTGAAGATGTTTTTATTTTCACAGGATTTATTCTCTCCTACAGTTTATTTATCAAAACAAATTAATCCTTTTCCTGCAGTGAGTCTCACTGCTGCAGGGTTATGGTTTCATATCCAATCCCCCCGGAGTGAGGAGTGTGAGACCCTAACTCCAGGGGCGCCAGC